TTAGTCCCCTTAGTCCCCTTAGTCCCTTTAGCCCCCTTAGTCCCCTTTGTCTCCTTAGCCTCCTTAGTCCCCTTAGCCCCCTTAGTCCCCTTAGTCCCCTTAGTCCCTTATTTCAATTTGAAATCAAGTGCTCTTTTTTCTGTTTAAATTCAGATTGAAATTAAATAACCCATAGTATGATTTTTTGACAGCTATGTGACAAGGACGCAATAGATATTCATATGACTTCAAACATTTTCAGTCATTTTATTGTAAATCTATATAGAGAATTTAACGATTTTTGCAGTCATAAATTTAAATATAGTGATATAGGATTGAAGGCGGCTTTGCAATGCAGCACTCATAAAAATTCAGTGACCTTCTATTGAGTCTCTATCTATTTAATATTAGTTGATCTCCATACCGACGCACTAGTTATGCGTAGGGAAGAACATTGAATAATTCTGCAAAATGAGTAATTCTTGATCAACTCGATCTAGATGGAAATTGCAAGTTTTCAATAAGGCTTTTGAGATGTATTTAATGTCTATTTAATTTGCACAGCATCAAACAAATAAACTGATCTAAACTGCAGCTTAAAGAATTCTGATGTTTTTTTCTTTATGACGCAAAACAAACAAGTATTATTCATGTGCTATTTTTGATATTATTGTGCATTACAGTGAGAATTACGATGAAGACGACAAAAAGAATCTTCTACAAACTTGTTTATATTTGCCTGCCAAATATTATTTGTTTCTACTTTACTCACTCAAATTGTATAACTTTGAAGTATATGGATCAGAGCTCGGACACAAGTATTTTTAATTGCACTTTTTGCACTTTTTCAAGTAAAAGTACTGGGAGCTGACACTTATGAATAAAGGCACACAGTTTCGGAATTACATTGTAGTACTAAAATTCAGCTTTTATCAACATGAAAGATGATCGATTTAAAATTAATTGTCACTTGAATAGACTGGAAGAATTTCAGATGGTTCTATAAGTTTTCGTTAAAATAGACTTTCATGTTCGAAGTAACTATAAAATTTTTAAAATTTTCATCCACATTTCAAAATAGATCTGATAAATTGCTTGCATAACTTCAATATTCTAAGGCAATTCAAAAAAAAGTCATCATTTATGCATCTAATTCTTCATTTCAAACAGACTCAACAGATGACACAAGACAATTTTTACAAGAATCCTATAGTGACTTTACTAACATACGCAAGAAAAGAGTTAAATTACCATCTTATTTCAATCTAACTTGTTAGTAGATGGTGCCACAATTATCCTAAAAAGTTTATTAGCATAGTCACCATTACAGACTACATTTTATATTTATACATCACGTAAGAGTATAAAATAAATACTTTTTTTCGTACTTAAGTACTTATTTGCTGTACTTGTACTTGTCGTAGCTCTGATATGGATAATCACAGAAGGAATGAATGACAGATATTCGTTTGACAGTGAAAATTGTAGAAACTTATATTCACCTGTCGTCCCTTGGAAAATATAAAATCTTCAAGTAAATACAAAGAAAACTTCCAAGTAAGCTATATCTTGCTTGACGTAGTCAAAGCGTCGTCATATAAAAATCGATTCTACAAAAGAATCAGGCACGAAAAACAACAATAATGCAAATGTATGCTGCATCGCAATTCTTAATGAAAGCAAAACACCGAAGAGGCAGTCATATTTTCTTTTCTTCGATAGAGTTTGAAATTTGTTTTACATGCAAGAACAAATGAAAAAATCCTTATAATTTTCTCTATAATGCACGTTTTGCATCATTTATAACCCGAAAATTTGAATCTCTGTTTTGTTATTGTGAATCACTATTGCTAATACATGTTGAAATCAAGTTCGAGAACTATGAAACGACTGGTACACTACGATTTTTTCACATATTGTGAGACATCGTTCGACATTCTGTTTTCGATCTTATTCTCCTGAATTTAAACCTTTAAAGCTTTACTGGGGTATTAAAAAATGTCGATATGCTACCTATATCCTTGAAATCGCTAAAGCACTTGGCAAGTAATCACCGGTTTCCTATTAAAGTTTTCGTGATTATTATATTAATTCGTGATTTATTAGCGGTTTCATTCGGAGTATGTTTATTACATCTACTTTTTCGATTAGTTTTTATTCAAAAGAATATCAAACCCATGTGTTCGATTGCAGTCAAATTGCGACGCAGTTGCGCCGCAACTGCGATCGCACTGTGACCCGCAATTGCGAAAAATTGTGATGCAGTTGCGCGTAACTGCGATGAAAAAATCGCAGTTGCGCGTAATTGCGATAAAAAAATCGCAGTTACGCGCAACTGTGATGCATTGATCGCAGTGCGCATAACTACGACGCAGTGGTACAAAAGAGGCGACATGGGAATCATTTTGATCACATGTTATATGAGAAGTTATAATAAAAACAAGAAGAAAAGTCACAGAAAGCTATCTATTGTTCTCCACAGATTCATTCATGAGGTAGAACAATGTAAATTAAATAAATGAATATTATAAGTCATACGTATCAAAATAGATGACGAGGAAAAGCGTTTACAAATTATGAGTAATCATTAACATAGAAAAAAAAACAACACGTCAAATGCATGAAAACTAAACTAATTACATTAGAAACACAAAGTTCAAGTGAAATTGATAAATAAAATCTAATACGTATACCTAAATATAGGAAAATATCAACAATTATTATACGTCGCTTGATGTGTAATGATTAACTAATCGGAAGATTAGAATTTTCTCAGACATCGGTTTCAGCTTAGTCAAATTTATATTACCCGATTGACCACTTATTTGCTTTTGTTCTATTCATCGCTATACGCAGTCTTAGGAGCAACTTGTGTAGTTTATATTTTCATTGCGTTGTTTTTTTTCTTCTTTGTTTATGAATCACAATATTTGTATTCGTCATTTTATTGGTAATCAAAGAGAACTGATCAGGGCCTTTTTGTTTGTCATTGCATCATACATCATTTTCATCGCTTACTTGCAAAAACACTAACGCACTGTCACTCTGTACGTCACCACTTTTTCTACGACAACAGTTTGATACAATTTGCGTCGATCTACACTTTAAAAATAAGGCGTTTTCTGAGAAACAGCAACTCCTTCGGAGACTTCTTCGAAAATCGATGAAAGAATCCAGAAAGATTTTCGGGCTCATGTT